TTGTGGCTTCTTGATGGCTTACACATGCAAAGTAGCCCGGAAAGGCGCTCCCAGCGGCTACTAAGATGTCCAGATTACTCAACCTGATCGCATAGTGTGGTGATGAAAGCTGGCTTCTTATTCTTCTCGTCTGCCACCATTCGCCTTGCTCTAGAACTAAAAAAGCACGTGTAAATGAATTTTTATTATTTTCCAGTGCTCTTAAACCCTTGTGCCATCGAGCATTACCGGTTGGGTTCCTCATCAATCCGAATGTGACAAACAGATGAACATGTCCCTGAATTACTCTTTATTAATTACTTAATTATTAAAAATTATTGGCAATAATTTTTAATTACCATTAATTACTCATTTATTTATTTATTAAACCTAATTATTATGCATCTTAAGTTGGTTTATCAGCAACGCAATTTAGATGCATCTCATCTGGCCGAATCCTATCCTCAGTGGCCAGAAGACGTTTAATCCATAAATGGTCGTAAATTCAGGCACATACGAAAAGAACACTTTTGGCGTCTCGCTGTTAAAATCAATTACTTGTGACATTAATGCCTTTGCCGCTTTCGTGCCATTGCTCATTTCAACCAACCTCATCTCATTCTAACTCTGCTGCTCATGCAGCGCTGCCACTTTCCATGTGTTTTTGAACAACGGATTATCTCAAAGGGCAAACCTAAGTGCAAACGAAAAGCAGGCCTCGGAACCAAGCGCGATACGTTCGAAATCGGTTTCGTTTTTCCCTCGTGCAAATTCGTGAAAATTTTTTTCGTTGTTCAATCTATCCACAGAGTACACACGAGTAATTGTTGAATTTTATTACTCTAACAAAACATTTGAGTGATAACCTTTTATATTTTGCGCACACCTATTTTACATCTAGTCCGAAACATGACGTCAATCCATACCGATCGCCCTCCGCAGCCATTGGTTGACCACAATAGATGTGGGCGGAATGGCTGCCCGTCGAACGTCAAACGCGGTATGCAATGCCACGCCTGCAAGGCCTGGTGGCATTTCAAATGCACGGGTTTACAGGACGACCAAATAAGCCGACTAGCCAACTCTCCTGACCCGTTTGTCTGTGCCAGCTGCCTCTATGTCAAGGGTGCAATGCATACCGCAGCGAAGAGAAGAGTCCCCCGAAACGGTACCCAATCCCCAGTGCAGATGCCGAAAGACCACTGCCAGTGTTCCGCTTTAATCGGGATACTCGACGCGAAATTAGAGCGTCTTTCGAAGGCACTGGAGGACTCAGGCGCTAAGAATGCAGCGACCTGGGCGAAAGTCGACA